CATCCCTGGCAGTTTTCAAGTCCAGGTTGGACACAGGGGCTTGGAGCAACCTGCTCTAGTGGAAGGTGTCCCTGCCCGTGGCAGGGGTTGGAGCTGGAGGAGCTTTAAGGTCCCTTCAACCCAAACCAGGCTGGGATTCTATGGTTCTATGAAGCAATCAGCACTGGAAGGAGGTGACAGGGGACCTGCCCTTCACACCTTGTCATGGCTGCTTAATTCCCCAGCACAGCAGCAGGGCTGTTAACAAAGGGTAAGGAGCTCACCCATGTGGTAGCACAGCCCAAGCTGGTTTCTCTCCCAAAGCCATCTGTTTGTGTGTTGAAAGGCTCAGGCTGTTTGAGCTACAGCCCCTCCGTTCTGCAGAAGCTGCGTAGGATGGAGGTAAATTAAAGCTCAGGCCTTCCCTCTGACTGTTGAATGCAAACCCTGGAGGATGTGTGGCTCCCCTGTGCCTGCAGATGCTTTAATTAATGGAGCACAAATTGAATAGCCCCACCTCAGTGTGCTTCATTAGGAGGACACAGATGGGCTCTTAAACATTAATTCCAGCTGAGATCCCCCAGAGAAGAAAAGGGGAGCACAAGAGCCTTGTGGTCCAGATAACCACAGCTATGCTGCAGCTAAGGTGAGCCTCCTGCTCAGCACAGCCAGCTCTGCATCTGCCCACCAGAGAGAGGGGCATCAGGCTCAGGCTTTTCCTTGCTTCTGGCTTCCTCTTTGCTAAGGATCAGGGTCACGGTGCAGGACGCTCCTCTTATCCTCCAGCTGTGGAGGCTGAACCCTGCTGTGTGATGCTCATGCTTCTCTGTGGGTGCATCGGGATCCATCGTGGCAGGACCCACTGTGCTCTATCACACCACGGGGCTGGAAGCTGTGGGAGCACCTCTGGGCCTGTGCCCCGACCCAGGGACCTGTGCTTGCCCTGGCTTTGCCCAGTGTGTTTTGCCTTTCTGCAGCCCTCATCCCTGCCTCCTTGGGGATGCAGTTCAGGTCCCCAGCTCCTGCCAGTAACGAATGGAGGAGCAATTACTGCCACCCCATCTCCAGCCCACGCGGGTGGGTCTCCTTGGTAACAGGGCTTTCAGTCCCTCCTTCCTCCCTGCTCTGCTTTTATCCACACTGCAACGCCGAGGAGCTAATCCCTGTTTGGGAAGGGGTGAGGGAAAGGCACGTGTAGGAAGTGATGAATTAGCTGCTGGTAATTAGCACCCCAGGACTCAGCTCTGCACTAAGCTATTTGCTGCGCAGTGTTGCTTGACAGCACACCACGGCCACTTGGCTCCTGTTCCACCATGGCCATTAATCTGACAGCAGGATTACCCCCAGCCCCTCCCTGCTCCATCAGCTCTGAACTGTCTTCTCATTAAGCTTTAAGGTGTTGAAAAGTGGCAGCACTTACCCGGTGTGTCATGAGGAGGAGTGATAAACCAGGAGGCTGAAGGTAAAGAGCCCCTTTGCCTGAGAATATTGCTCCTGGCACTTGCTGTGGGTGCAGAGTGGGCCCTAGCCCCATGCCTGCAGCTCAGAAGGATGCCTGGTGGCCACAGATGGTTCTTTTCCTTCAGGACCCTGTTAGTAGGGAGGATTTTAAAGGCATAACTTTAAGTGTCTCAAAGTCTTCAGGTAGGGGGGTTAATCAGCATCTTCTGTGAGAGTTCAGCCTCTCAGACTCAGCTGGGAGGTGTTGCAGGCACTCCAGGAGCTTTTTGCCATAAGTAAACCTTATCAAAGTGCCTCTTCCAGGAAAAACTGAGAACATTTGGGTTTAAAACCTTCAGGTGAGCAGGAGCACAGCAGGTGAGAGCCACTGTGTGGTTTACGCCTGCAGTTGAAGTGACTGTAAGTACAGACAGGGTGAATCAATCCTGTGGCCGTTTCCACATGGAATTAGAGGCATGTTTTAAAAGTTTGGAATCAGGTATTGAATATCTAGAATGAAAAACTGCATCTTAGGACAGCTGCCTCCCCCATCAGGAGGTGAGAAAGTGCAGTGAGATCCAAAGAAACACTGTGGTTCAGGTGGGGGAAACAGCAGTGAAGCCCCATCTCATTAAGGCAATAGGAGTGTATCCAGATAGGACAAAATCCAGGGGTTTAGGTAGAAGCAATTTCAATCCTTTGAACTGAGACAGAACCTGTGTGGTCTGGGTGAAGTGGGACAAGTGTCAAGAATCCACTGCCACGGATTCTCAGTGTCACTGTGGGATACCCCTGGGTGGGAATGGTGGCCTGTTCTGACCTGGGTATGGATTTACAGCATGGCTCCAACCAAGCTTTGTAACCCCTTCTGCCCCACTTCTCCTGCCTGTGAGGTCAGCCAGCACCGGGACAGTGTGTTCAGGCTGTGGGTAAAGCGCTGAGTGAGGGCACATCACTTCAGAGAGAGAAGCTGACTTTGCGCCACGCTGGTCTCGAGTGGTGCTGAGCACCTCTGGTGGTGCCCTGAACGCAGCTACTCAGACATGAACAAGCTCTTTTCCCTGTGCTAGGATGGCGGGAAGTCAGCCCAGAAGAGCCCTGGAGACCTGAGTTTCCCCATGACGGGCCGGGAGCGCTCGGAGTACCTGCGCTGGAAGCGGGAGCGGGATCAGATTGACCTGGAGCGAGTGGCACGTCACAAGAACGCGAAGGGCGAGTGGCGACGGGCTTGGGATGTGGAGAAGTCAGAGCACATGTAGGTCCTCCCCTGCCCTGGGTGCGTTGTGTGCAGCAGGCCACCTGCAGCCAGTGATGAGCTCTTGTGCAGTGATGAGCTGTCCGAGTCCACGCTGTCATCTCTTTCCCCTCCTGACCTTGTCTGTCAGTGGGACCAGAGTGATTCTCATGGTTTATTTCCGACCTGAGGGCTCCTACCCTGATGGGAGATACCGTGTGCTGACAGATTGCCTGCCTTGGGTCCAACCAGGACTTGGACTGTGGGAGGGAGGGGAGCATGAATCAACGCTTGGGCAACATCTGGAGGATCCTCCCCATCTCCACATGGACAAATCCAATGGCAGGAGGGTGTAGGTGCTCTTCTAGCAACAGGGATGGACATACTTGCGTTGCTAGTCCACAGGTTTTCTCACTGCCCTGCTTGTTCCTCCTTTCTTTTGACTCACAGGACAGACCAACATGTCTATATCCTCCACACCTCAAACTGAGCTGGTTCAGGCACTGTGGTGTGAGGGGATCACTTTGAAGAGCTGCCCATATGATACGGGGACATGCAGGGAACAGTATGGGAGAGCTCCTAATGGGGTCTGACACTTCCCTGCTTTAAACACTGTCCCTCCAGCTGTGCTTGTTCCACTGGGTCACAGCAGCTAGTAAGCTTTGGAGGATGACTTGGCACCTGCAGCAGGACAGGTTTTGGTAGGGCGTGGAGTTGGGGAGTGCTGTGTAGGTTTTCTGATACGAGTTTGTGCAGGGCAGATAGGTGGGATGATCTTTTGGCTGAGGAATGGGACCAAATACACAGATTTTCAGTCTCTGAGACCCCAAATGAGAGAGGTGAATTGACTCAAGTGGGTGCTGAGTGTTGCTGGCAAGACAGCTTTGAGCCCTATTGGCTCCCATCTATCCATTTTTAAGAGAAAAACCATAATACAAACCAAGCAGGATTAGAAACCAAGCAAACGAGTCTGATCTGAGATGACAAGTCCTGAAGCTACTTTAGATTGTGTTTGGAAGCTGCATTTGAGCATGGTACAGCTATGCTACAGGCATCTCTAGGCTTCATGGATGTTCACAGGATTAAATCTATACAACCGAGTACTGATGTAAAGGTTTTGGAGGTTCTCCTTTGGGGTAGAATTGCCTCACAGCCTCATTTCTCCTGGTTGGTGCATGCAGCTTCAGCTCCTGCTGCTAAACCTGCACATATTTGCCAGTGGGCTGGTGCAGAAGGGCCGAGGCTGGAGCCTGCGTCGTCTCGAGGTCTCCTGCCCATGCTTTGCACACTGGAGGAGAACGCTCAGGTCTGACAATGCCTGTTTTTAACCTGCAGGTTTGAAGAGGATGGGGAGCCAGCCTTGGATAATCCCAGCAATAAGAAAGGTTGGCAAGGGACACCTAGACTCTGTCCTGACGCTTAGTGAACGCTGATCCTGCGATCCCAGTGCCGCAGCAGCCGTCGTGCTGTCAGTTGTGAAACTCTGCTTTTCTGGGCCTCTGAGCACAGTGTTGGGGTCTCAGCCCTCTCTGCTTTGCAGAGTGCTCAGGGGATGGGATTTGAGCATCTGGGTGCTAGTGCTTTTTACCTCCCCAGGGAGAGCAGTGGCTTCTGTAACCTTGTACGACACAGTGCGGAGGCTCAGCGCTGCCTCCTTTCCCAGACACTGGGTTGAGAGGCAATCCTATTCCAGAGCACGTCATCTCTGATCCCTGTGGCACCTGCTGGCTTCTTTACTAGCATAAGTCCATCATGACTCCTGTTGCTCAGGAGATGGACTGGCAGAACAAAGCTTTCCCTTGTGACACCCTGTCTGAACATCAGGCTTTGTGCTGCGTGTCCATTGCAGAACCTCACTCACTTCCGTGCATGCTTTGCTTTGTCCTTTCAGGGGGAAGAAACGCAAGGAAATTCCAGCACAAATCCTTTCCTCCCAACGGGAGAGGTGAGTAAACTCGGTTCTGTCACCCTACTGAATGGCAGCACCTCTGATACACCCTCATGGGGAGAGCTCTCTCCAGCCGTGCTCATGGATTTGGGGTTCCTTTTGGGCACATGCCATGTGCCTGCTCTCACAGCTGTGTGGTGCTGTCTGTGCCGTGTGCCACGGGAGAACAGGAACAAGTCTTCCAAGAACAGCACAAGGCAGACTAGCCAAGGAATGATTTAACTTATAATTGGAATTTGGAATAAAAAATACAGAAGAAATACCCCTAAATTCTCAATTTGTATTTATTACTTTAGCTAATACATATATTGTATGCATACAGCTTCAGAGGCTTCCCCTCCAGAGGTACTTCGCAGTGATAGAAGGATGTTGGCCCCTTCTGTGGTCCATGAGCTGGTTCTGCCTGCTCCTACCTGGCATTTCCAACCTGTCTTCTAGGTGGAGCAAATGCGAACAATCCTGGTCCAAAAGTGGTACCTGCAGTGAGCAGCCGAGCCAAAGGGAAGGACAGGCTGACCGGCAGAGCCAGGAGGTAAGGAGCTGGCAGCACCGCAGCATCCCAGCTGATGGTTGGGTTATCCACATCCAGGCCTCATTCTTTGCTGAATTGTGAAGAGGGACAGGCAAAAAACTATGTTCTTCCAGCTGGGATATTGTTCCATCTCAACAGGCAGCTGTTTGTATGAGTTCACATTGGCTGGGACCATGTCTAGCAGCACTTCACTCAGAATCATAGATTGGTTTGGGTTGGAAGGGACCTTAAGGATCATCCAGTTCCAATCCCTGCCGTGAGCAGGGGTGCCTCACACTAGACCAGGTTGCTCCAAGCCCAATCCAACCTGGCCTTGAATACTTAGTCTTATCTGCCTTCCAGGCACGGCTGATGCAGAGAAACAGCCTCCAAAGATAGTTCTCAGCTGAACTGATAGTAATTAGGACTGATGCTGGAGTCCTGCTCCTGTCGCTGTGGGCAGCACGCAGCAATGTACCACTTTGCACTGAATTGATTCAGAATATCAGCAAAACTAAGTGTGTTCACAGGTTCACTCACATTCTCCCAGGGGTCCCTCCCCTGCTGCTCTCCATAATTAAGCTTCGCTGCAGTCTCCAGCTTCCTGGAGCCATCCCGACAGTTTAATAACAGTGATTGTCATCTCAGCACTGCCGTCCCCTTTAGTGGGCAACAGAAAGATGAAGAGTTGTTTACAGACCCCAAGCCTCTTCCTTTATTCATATAAAACCATTCCAGCAGCATTTAACATTCGCATTCTGCATCCATCCAGGTCAGTTATGACCATGCAGCTAAACAGATGCACACAGGATGTGCTTCATGGGGCACCCACCACAAGTGAGTTAGCTGGAGGTGAGCTGCTGCTTGATGTTACTGCCTGAAATGGAGAGTGTTGGGCAGGGTCTGAGAGTGCAGGATTCTGCTGTGTCAGGACAATAGAACCATAGAATCCCAGCCTGGTTTGTGTTGAAGGGACCTTAAAGCTCCTCCAGTTCCCCCCCTGCCCCGGGCAGGGACACCTTCCACTAGAGCAGGTTGCTCCAAGCCCCTGTGTCCAACCTGGCCTTGAACACTGCCAGGGATGGGGCAGCCACAGCTTCTCTGGGCACCCTGTGCCAGCGCCTCAGCACCCTCCCAGGGAAGAGCTTCTGCCTCAGAGCTCATCTCAATCTCCCCTCTGGCAGGTTCAAGCCATTCCCCTTGGCCTGTCCCTGCATCCCTTGTCCAAAGCCCCTCTCTAGATTTCTGCTGTGCAGAGCCTGGCACTGTATTAAGCCTGAAGATCTTATAATGTTGCTTTTGTGTCCAGTGGCTGTAGTTTGAGGAAGCGCACCTGAGCAGTCATATGCTGCAAACTGGGAGTCTGCTCACAGCATAATGATAGGGTGTCTTCTGCCTTCCTAGGCCCTCTCAGTTAATCATGCTTTTAACAATGAAATTTAAATCTGATAAATCAATGAAGAACAGGATCAGCAGCATGCAGATAATCCACTTAGCTTTGTTTGTGTGTTATGTTCCATCCCTTGCTGTCCTCAGCTCCATCCCCAATAAAACGTACTTGGGAAAGTAAAGCTGAAGAGCTGAAGAGCATCCTTTGCTCCACTGCTTCTCTTTGGGAAGAGCCATTCCTGAAGCTTTTCCTCTAATTTCAAACTCAGCTTAGGGACCCTATAGATGCTGTATATTCCCAGCCTTCATTCATATCTGCCCTTTATCAGTTAGATTCCTCTCTGATTTAGGTCCAGGCAACCCAAGGGCAGTGGTAAGACCCATTTGGAACATCCGGTGGTGAATTCCAGCAGCAACTTACCCATAAAGGATTTGGAGCCAAGCTCTCATATGAGAATCTATGATGGATATCACTGGCTATGCTAGGGAACACACTGAGCATTTTCATTGCCTCCTAGTGATTAATAACACTCTGGTGTGTTCATGGTAATGATGGGGAGGAGATGCTGAGTGTTTCAGAATTGCTGTCTAGCTAGTTTGGGCTATCTTTAGGCCTGTGGGGGTGGTCTCTTCTGGGCTGGCTCTGCAGGAGCCATGCAGTGCTAGAGCAGATGGAGCAGGGAGAGGCGGAAGCCTGTAATTCCTCTGGTTAGATCTCCACCGGGGAAAGCAGTCATCAGTCCCACCAGTAGCAGCGCTGAGTGCGGAGGGGAACTGACCACCAGGGCAGCCCACGCTGGAGTTGAACGTGCTGGACTGTGATGAGCTCTGTCCATACAGGCTGATGTTCAGAGTCTCTACGGGGCACCATGGAAAATACAACCCCAGTGGTGGGGGCTACTTCCAACAAAAGGGGCCCTTCTGCAGTCTGAGCTTGCACAGCCAGTGGCAGGGACCTAGCGTGCAGTCAGGACAAGAGCTGCTGGCTGTGGTTTGGGTGCTGGGTCTGCCTCCAAGCCCTGTAGGACTGCTCCAAGCTGCTTCCCCCTCTGGCTCTGAGAGCTTTGAGGTGCTTGCAAATGCAATTCACTTCTGCCCTAAGGACTTTGTAAGATAAACAGACAGTGTGAAGCAGCTTAGCGTGATGTAATTCCCACACAACTTCCATAAGAGCACAGGGGGTCACTGCACACTTGCCTCTGGGAATGCCTGACTGCATTCACCTCTATGTGCATCTTGTCTCTTGGTCCAAATTTGCTATATGAAGAGGCTGGTGAGAAGAGCAGAGTCTGTCTGGAGAAGACTTGGATCTCACACACCTTTGTATGTGTGTTTTAAGAGTATGGGGCAGGGAGAAATGTGTATATCATGTACATGTTTGTGTGGGATATCACTCGCCAGGCACATATACAAGAACTAAGGGCTACTGAGATCCCTCCCTGCCCAATAGCACTGAATGGGCACATTCAGATCTATCCCCACCTTAGCACATACAGACAAGCAAAACCAAGGAGTCCATCATAGCCTTCCATTAAGCTGTGGCACAGGATGTTGTAGCTGCTGCAAATTGATTAAGGGGTCAAAATGCCCTTGCACACATCCTTGGAAGAGGTTGTCTCCTAAGCGTGACTCGACACAGAGAGACCATCTCAGGCTCAGGAAATCCCAGAGCTGCACGTTTCTGGAAGCTGGGTGGGTACCGGCAGGTATTAAATGCACTTTCCCTCTTTCCAAAGTCTTCTCTAAGCATCTGCTAGTGGTGCTGAGAGGGACAGAGAGCTTGAGCCTGCTCCTATGGAATCCTTGCAGTCTGCTTGCACATATCCATGTCATCAACCTCCCCGGCTGCTTACTCCAAAGCCATTTTATCCTTCACTGTCTGCCTCTGTCTGCTGCCGTGGAGATCTGGGACACTTGGGCACTGTCAGGCACTGGATGAGACTGTGGCAGACATCAGCATAAACAAATTTATACGTATCTTATTAGTCTAACAGCCACTGTCTGTTCTGGCAATTGGATTTTATGTTTTCATTACATTTAGAACTATAACAACCAGTTCATTAAGATTTAGTGGTCTCAGATGAGTGTCTGGAAGGGCTGAGTGCTTTGCAGGTGCCTAAAAGAACTGGACCAGTTTGTCTGCTGCCTTTATTTCTCATTGCTTGGTCAAGGGGCTCAGGCAAGGAATTCATGGGCCTGGTAGGAATTCCTGCCCAGATTCAGGCAGGGAGAGTGGCTTTGCCATAGGAGACTGTGAGCAGCAGGTCAAAGGAATTGATCCTGCCCCTCTACTCTGCTCTGGTGAGACCCCATGTGGAGCACTGGGTGCAGTTCTGGTGTCCTCAACATAAAAAGGACATGGAGCTGCTGGAGCAAGTGCAGGGGAGGCCACAAGGACGA